TCAAGCTTATCCTTCTGTATGGCAGAGTAGTTCTCCATTGAATAAACAGCACATCTTCTTCTCCAATCACCAGTTGATGGGCATTGGAATTGTTTCCAAGATTTGGCTGTTACAAACTGCTACTATAAACATGGTATGTATATATATGGCTGTGGTATGACATTAATTCTTCTGGGAAGATACCCAGGAGGGGATGCCTAAAATTTTTATAGATTGTCTTTCCATGCATTTTTTGTCAAAATGCATCATAATGGTGATAAATCTAAATTGAGAACAATGGAAAGATTATGTTTCTTTGATGGGGCATTTTATTTTTGCAGGCAAGGTCTTCTATTCCGGGTTTTGTATATACTGCATTGGGACTAACTAGATGCTAAATTTATTAATGCTCCTTGCTTAACCTGCTTCACTTGTTTTGACTATTGTGGTTTGTTGTATTTTCTTAGACAGCCACCCTTGGAAAGAGTAATGTTAGAGTGTCCCCTATTGGACTTTGACACTAACCAAAATGTGAATTTATGAAGTGCTGTAAAATGGGTTTTTTAAAATAAAGCCTAGTTTATATTTCAGAAAAATACATGTCTATTAATAAATCACAGGACTCTGCCAGTAAAAGGCAATAGGCTAGTAGTTATTCTTAAGAATAAGACAACAGATTTTACAGAGACAGTCTGGCCTGATTCTCCTCTACACTCTAGAGGAAATGTCAAGCCTGCTCTGCCTCAGTTTCCTTTCTGGTATGATCTTCCACTGGTGAGGAGACAAACTTAGCTCACTGAGATTCCCCACTCTCACCTCTCCAGGATGAGGGTGAAGACTCAGCAGAAAATTGTCTCAATAATCAGTGAGAGCCTGAGAAGAAATCACTTCCCTTTTCTGATCTCATTTCTTATCTTTTCCTGTCACTTTGTACCTTCACCACTGGCTACAGTGACCCTGGCACAAGCTTCATTGGCTACAGAGGTTGATCTCTAGATTCGTCACCTTCTGGCACAGACTCTTTGACCTTCTAATGGAGGACCTTCAGCTTTCCAACACAAATTTGTACCAGTGACCCTATAGCCAGCTTCCAGGCCTTCATCCCTCTGGGTCTACTGCTCTCCAATGTGCAGACAGCTATTTTGGATTCTGCAACTTCTGACTGAGCAGACGGCCAAGGGGACTCCTCCACTTCTGCTACTGGAAGCCTCCCCTCTTCCCTTGTATAAGCATATTGTATATTGACTCTGTTTCTCCAGGAAACCCAATACAGAGGACTGAGAGCTCCAAAGTGGAGCTCCTTAATGGTGAGCACTGAGGAAGGAATGTGGGCCAAGAAGAGCCCCGGGATGCTCTGTGTCTCCATGGAGCTGCTTAGAGGACATGAGCCCAGGCCCAGGCTGTCCTGTTGGTTTTCTGTCCACAACACTGACTCCCATGTTTTTGACTTGAGCACTGAAGAAGGAGACAAGCAATTGTCCCCAAGACCCATACTCACTGGGACATCTGGAGAGTGCTCTGGGTGGCAGTGCTTCCACCAGGACCCATAGGTACTTTGAGGACACTTGCCCCTGCAGTCGCCCTCAACACACAATGGTGACAGGGTTCTCAGTGGACTGGCCTCCAGTCTAGAGATTGGCTTCCCACAGCCAGGTCATCCCACGTGTTGGAGGGATCCATCATGGATGACACCAGAGAATGCAACCATTGCTCTCGAGAACACTGAGGGTGAGCCCAGGGCAACATTGAGAATAAGCCTGTGAGATTTCTTCGGGGAAGTCTGTGGGGAGGAGCCCTGCAGACTGTGTGAGGGGGGGAGGGGGCAGCAGGGAGGAGGGCAGCATCTGGCCTGGGGCACCATGGTAAACTTACCTCCATGTCATGTCACCCATGGAAGGGCTCCTGGCATTTTGGGGATCCCAAATCCTCCCCTTCCAACTGGCTCTGAAAAGTTCCCACAGGGAACCCTCCTGACCAGCTGGCTCAGGTGGAGATCACTGTAGGGACAGCCCAGGGCGAGGCACACAGAAGGCCATGTCCTGAGCCAGGAGCCACGTCCTCGCCATTGGGCCCGGGGCAATAGGTGCGTCTGACAGATGCACATTTCACAGGCCAATAACTTCATGCTTTCAGTCCTTTGTCACTGGTCTCCTTGGGAGCAGGGCCTCAAGGGGGTCCTGGCACCTTCCTGAAGCAAGTGCTGCCTGGAATTGTGACGTCCGTGCAGCTGCCAGAACTCAAGGACACAGCCCTGGCAGCCTCTTGTGTGTGAGCAAGGACTGGGCTGGCTGGCTCTGCTTTCCTGCCCATGAGCTCTGAGGCCCAGCAGCCAGGGGTCAGAGCCTGAGGCCTCCGCCCCACCAGTGTCCTCAGGCAGTAGCACCAGACTCAGTCCTTCTGACATGCACAGCGCGCCTCCTCGGAGAGAGGAGGACGCTGGGCACGAGTAACCCCAAGGTCTCCGTTGTTCTGAGGCTTCCAGGCCAAGAGCGGGCTCCTCCAGACATCTCCACGTGCTCACTGCGGGGGGAGCTTGGTCCTGGAGCCACACAGCCTCGGCAGCTGGTGGAGAGGCGGTGGAGAGGGTGGTCCTCCATGACTTTCATTCTTTTTTGAATCCTCCATGTATGAAAGCCTTTGAAAGGGAAAAGGCAAATAAGACCATCATTTGCCAAATGCGTCAGATCCTGGTGGGCTCCAATCCCAACTGCGTTGATGTGGATGTGCAGAACTTTCCGTTCTGGTCGTTTTCACAGTTTTGGTTGCTCTCACTGTCCTGAAGGCCCGGCTCCGTTTTAGCCTGTCTGAGCAGGCTGTCTGATTGCTCAGGTGTAGCTGTCCTCCTTATTCCTCTACTCACTTGCTCAGGGCTCCCCCAGCTGTGTAGCTCACAGGCTCCTCTCCCAGTTGTCGCGACTGTCACACGGGATCTGGAGCTTGCGCAATCCGTCTTCGGGAACGATCCCGGTGCCTGCCGAGTCTGACCCCTCATCGGGTGGACCCTGCTCTAGGTGAGGCGGAGCGTGCCCGCGCCTCTCCCAGCTTGTGAGACTATTCCAAGGACCGAGGAGGGTTTCCCCTGCGTGAATTCTTTCTCTGTACTGATAAACTTACAGATAAAAGAACCAGCAAGGCACTGACAGGACCGGTGATGCAGGGTATTTTGTGACATTTTTCAGCGAATTCCCCACGTTCTTCGGGCCTAGTCATCTTTTCCTCTCAGGTAAATAAGGTTCTATCTATTGAAGAAGAGAGCACTTAACATATGAAAGGTGCTGTTTTTCTTTTTGTTATTGCTGCTGAGTTTTTGAAGCTGTTAAACAAATAAGATCTTAAAAGTTGAGTTTTTATTACAAGTAGTTTGGTAGGCTGAAAAGAAGACTTTCAGTGGTTTCTGAAGGAGAACAATTCCTGACTTGAAGAGACACAAACGTTAGGATGAGCCGCGTGCTGTGAGAGAAGGTCGGGGAGCATGGAGACGAACATGGCACAGTCAGTCTTTGGTACCCGAGACGTTACATACACACAACTGTCGCCCCTGCGTCGCCATGCGATGCCCTCGGCCGTGTTCCAGTGCAATAAGGAAGCCTTTCCAGATGTGAGCCGAGGTTGCGCAGAGGCCAAATACATGCTGGCACCACACTGTTGGTCTTCTAAGCTCTCAGAACCAAAGAGATATTGAACATCACAGACACCTGTTCCCAAATTTCTCCTGGCTGCTTTTGAACATGCTTTCCATACAAACTTTGAAATTTGCCGGCAAAATTCCACGTTGAAAGCAATGCACCAAACTCTCCTTTGCTACAATTAGATGATGTCATCAACTTGTTTGCTCCATCAGCACCTGCATGAGTGAGCTGGGCCAGGAGGCAGTAACACAAGTAAATCTTCATGCGTGACTCATGTCATGTGTGCTATGGTCGGGTCGACCTGCTTCAGCAGGTAACTGTCCTGCTGGAAAATGTGGTCCCAAGTCACTCTTTCCCACCAGGAAAGTTACACAATCTCCTGGGGCTTTAATCTTGGCCTCCCAGGCTCCTGAGATTTCATTAAACGAGTTTCTACTCTTCTGAAAATGGCTTTGGATGAGGTTCTGAAGTTGTGCTGTTATCGGGTAGCTTGCTTCTGAAAAGCGGCTTGCCTCCCAAACGTTCCTGGGTTCGGGTTGCTCGCCTGTCCTTCTGGCGCTGGAGTCCAGCTTCTTCTCTTCTTGATG